ACATTACTTTAAGACCAAAACGAAAATATTCTGTCGAGCTCTCGGAAAATAAGGCCGATTTAAAGGTTTTTAGCCCTGAATCGGCTGAAAATTGCTGATTACGGAGCAAATATCCAATAATTATGGCTGTACTCTTTGTTTTTTGAAGTTGTGGGGGCATCGAGGGTAGGAAAAGGCCTTTTTCTTCCTTCATCCCCCCGCCCATCGCTCCCCCCGCCCCCTTCCATAAAAAACCATTTACACCTATGCATATGCATGCGCTCAAATTGATATGAATGTCTTGCTAGTTTGAGTCGGTGGATTGGACCCAAAGTAGAATACCGATGACCAAACTCGAAAATTGCACAATCGCTTATTGCAACGTTGCAGATTTCCTTCTATTATTTTTTACGGCCGAGAATTTTGCAGAATTTCAAGGAAAACTTCATTAGTTTTTTTTTACAATGACATTAAAATTCAGTGGAAGTAATTCTCTCAAATCTCTCCTATGGTTCGTCTATAAATAAAGAAAGTAGAAAAATATACAAGCAGAAACTCTGAAACGTCGCAATAAAGATGCGTTTAATATTTGAGTTTACCTTTCAATATTCTTTAAAATGTATTAAAAATACAGCACATATTTGAAGAAAAATAGTCTTTTTCACGAAAATAGAGGGTTAGTTATATTGAAAGCATTTGAATACAAAATATGGCAAAGCATAAAGCATGTTAGAATGGCAGAAAAGCAATTTAGCAATCAAGCATAAAATCTACTGTGAATGGAAGCATATAAGAAAACATTGAATACAGGACGACAAAGCAGCATAAGTCATATAAAAATCGCATAAAATCATTTAAGGATGGAATTATAAAAATAATTAAGCATACTAGTATAATTTTAAGTAAAGATGATTATACCCACAAGATTACAAATGCAGTGAATTGTACTCGCAAACTGCGCGTAGCAATCGAGTTAAGTATAGTTAGGGTTCGTTTCTGCTACTTTGTATTTCAGCCATGTGGCTTTAAAATCTTGATGGACACTCTCAGGGGCTTGCTCGCTAAAAAAGCCAAGACCTTGTTGTTTCTTTTCACAGTATTCAAATGCTTTCAATATAACTAACCCTCTACTTTCGCGAAAAAGACTATTTTTTCTTCAAATATGTGCTGTATTTTTAATACATTTTAAAGAATATTGAAAAGTAAACTCAAATATTAAACGCATCTTTATTGCGACGTTTCAGAGTTTCTGCTTGTATATTTTTCTACTTTCTTTATTTATAGACGAACCATAGGAGAGATTTGAGAGAATTACTTCCACTGAATTTTAATGTCATTGTAAAAAAAAACTAATGAAGTTTTCCTTGAAATTCTGCAAAATTCTCGGCCGTAAAAAATAATAGAAGGAAATCTGCAACGTTGCAATAAGCGATTGTGCAATTTTCGAGTTTGGTCATCGGTATTCTACTTTGGGTCCAATCCACCGACTCAAACTAGCAAGACATTCATATCAATTTGAGCGCATGCATATGCATACGTGTAAATGGTTTTTTATGGAAGGGGGGGGGGGGGGGGCTGAAGGAAGAAAAAGGCCTTTTCCTACTCTCGATGCCCCCGCAACTTCAAAAAACAAAGGGTACAGCCATAATTATTGGATATTTGCTTCGTAATCAGCAATTTTCAGCCGATTCAGGGCTAAAAACCTTTAAATCGGCCTTATTTTCCGAGAGCTCGACAGAATATTTTCGTTTTGGTCTTAAAGTAATGTGTTTACATCATACTTCAAGGTTCTGAAGAGAAATCATGAGTGCATCGACTTTTCATTTAACTTTGGTTCAAACGAACCGTGAAGTGCTACTGATCTGAGCACTTGCCATTTTTACCAGGGTTGTTATTGAACAATTTGTAAATTTTTAACGTCTCAAAAATTGGCTTCCAAGTACACTTAAATAACTTCAAAAATGTATTCGTTGACATTTTTTTAACTTTCATGTGCTATTAAATTGGTATCATAAAAGTTACTTCAAACAAAAATTACTAAACTTGAAAAGTCTGGGTATATGTTAAGAAAGTGGTTCTTAACCGAGCAGCCGGGTTTTCCAATAGCCAACTTTAACGCCATATCTAACTCTCTTCAAAAAATTTCAGGTATGCAATTTTTTGGAAATTTTATGCTCTAAACTTTATTACCATCATTGGATTGTATCCTCAGTTTCCAGCTGTCAAAAAGCCGAAAATCGTTGGAATTCTGAAATTTCTGGAGAAATCAAGTTTTAGCGTAATTTCCCCCTTCAATACGCTTTTCAGGTACATGCTGTAAAATTTAAAGAAAAACCAGTATGTTATTCGTCTTGCAAATTTCATCACCTTTCTAAAAAGTGTATATAAATTATACCTCTGTCGAAAAATAATTGATCGAAAGCGCTGGAAACGGGGAAAATAGCTGAATTCGTTGTTAAAATATTGACTTCATGCTTTGGAATGGTTCGTCTCACAATTCGGGCATAAAAGATGAATAGGTAAAATGAATGGGTGTACCTATGTAAAGTTTAGCGCACTTTTCAGTAATGTCGTTGCTTTTCACCTTAAATCAATTATTTTGACCTAAAATTGGCCAAGGACGCGAAAAATCGTGAATTTTCAGCAGATTTTGTCGGTTGTTGTTTTTAAATATGAAAATTCAGAATGAAGGGAACCTTCATATACCTTCATAACCTTTAGTTTTGCATACGATTCTTAGTCAAAGTTTTATGATCTTTCAAATTGATTACCAGCAATTTTTTTGTTTGACGCAATATTCTTGAGTTATAAAGGAACATCCGTAAGTACGTTCTCGTTGAAAATCGTCATAAGCCGCCATTTTGAAAAACTGCGACTTGACCACTTTCCCGGTGGAATTATTTGGTAAACTTTCTTTTCTGTCTTATTGGGTACCTAGGGACCCTATATACCAAAGGAAAAGTTTGTGCTAATTTGTCGGAGGTAAAAAGCTAGAATGACTGGACTAACTCTACTTTAAGATCCTAAAGAGTTCTCGCTTGTGACTCGTCAAAAAATTTAGACTCGTTCAGACGCACCGTGCGTGGTTTTAGGTGTAGAAAAGAAAGTAAAACAGGAAATCTAACATGTTGAAAACCGAAATACGTGGTCTGGTAGTTTCACCGTAAATATGTACCTACTACTCTATGACATAGAGTGCAAAAAAGTCACAATGTACGATAGCACCGATGAAGTCATTCTTTGAGACTGTATTGTCCAGTAATTCTTTTTTTATTTATTTTTGTAATTACACATTAATAATTACTAAGTCCATTTTTTAGACCTTACGGGTCTTTACAAATTTTTTCTTAAATTTATTACAATAGAATAGGGGTAAACACCGTTTTATAGATAGGGGCACGTATGAGGAGAGATAATGGTGGATGGATGGAGATGAAGTGAAAGTACAAATCTTGTAAAAAGCGTGAGAAAACTACTTAATACTAACTATAGCAATTCCTAGAACTAAATGCCCAGTGAATCTTTTTATTAATAGTGCTTTCGCCCCGTCAGTCGACTAAGACTGTGGGGGCCAGAGGCACCAGCCTAATATCGACGGAAATGAGCCGTGCTCAGCTCATAAGCTTTGCGTCTTTTTAGCCTCCTCGTATCGGACACCCAGTCCAAAAGCGCTATCGCCTCGGGGTGGGGTGCACGCCTAGTCGCTCTTCATAGTTATTGTACTGTCGAGAGATGCATACATATCCATTTTTTCTATTCCGAGTTCATCTCTAATATCGATGTTACGCTCGTACCACCTGACCCCTGCCATTTGCCTGAGAATCTTGTTTTGGACTATTTCGATAATTTTTAGGTTCGAACTGGTGGCGCACGCCCAAATCTGAGAGCCGCAGGCCCAGATTGGCCTTAACATGGACTTGTAAATGAGAACTTTTTTTTTTTTTAACTTTGATTTAGAATGCTTCCCAAGAAGCCATAGCATTTGTCTGTGCTTTAGATCGATCTGCTTTTTTTAATTAGGATGTGTTCTTTGCATTTTAATTTGCAGTCCATGGTAAGGCCAAGGTAATTAAGGGGCCTTCTGTGCATGGGGAATGGCAATTTTGTTTAAAATTACTGGGATATGAACATATGGTCCCAGAGTAAACACCACATTGACTGATTTAGTGGCGTTGAGCGCTGAGAATGTCCAGTAATTCTGAGATTACTGTGCAGCGACTAGCCGTATGAGCGGAGTCCAAGGTAGGGTGAAAATGGGAATTTGAGTGCAGTTGTTGCCAGATTGTGCAGAAAAAAGTAATCCAATCATTGGTGCGACATGGCAACATGATAGTCCTGACCAGTCGCATGACAGTTTTGACTCAAGTGACCTAAGGTGAAGTCAGGTAACTGGGCCAGACCCTATATATTTCTGCCCTATTAGAGCTAACTTACGTAACTTTAACTTAATGAGAAGACAACATCTTCGTCTTCATCTTCTTTTTCACCAAGTATTTTACAGAAATTGATGTTCCAGGAGCTGGGACCGCATTATACTGCGCGGCCGCCACCTTGAATTTTGAGATGTTGAAAATCTGACCAAAAGTTGACCCGTTGAAAAATACCCCCTAAAACCGAATTTCACGAAAATCGATCGAAGTGAAGCCAAGACATTATATTAGGCCACGGCCGCCATTTTTATCAAATACGATTCGTTTAAACTTTATGTATATTTTACATAAACTTTACCCTTGCCGGTATTTTATAGATTTTGTTAACACTTTTTTACATAAATTTTACAGAAAATTTTTATAAAAATTTATCTTCACAAGACTATTTTTTTAATGTAAATTTTAAACTTGTTTTACATTTTTTTACGTAAATTCATCCGTCAAAGTTTTGATTTTTCATTTACGTAATTTTTACGTAAAGAAATGTATGTAAATTTTACTTCGTTTCACAAATTTTTATTTTTTTTTTTACGTTTTTTTTACAAAGGCTGCTACTAGAGTACAGCTTCACCCCAAAAACGCCTGTGAAGATTGGAGTCCAATAACATACAGAGATTGCGTTCACAGATTGCACGGTTTAACCGTTCTGCTACACCATTTTGAGATTGCACCTTCCACGCACCAAAAATTGGTTTAGAAACACTCTTTCAAAGTATGGTGGATTGATACAGAGTCTCGCTATGGAGAGTCAAAGAGAGGGAATAAGTCGAGAAAATGAGAATCGCTAAAACGGGCTTTTTTGAATATCGCTAAAATTCACCTCATCTTTGGGGGTCGATATCTCGCGAACGGGGCGTCGGGTGGGAAAACCTTTCAAATGAGTTTCATAGAATGGTGTAAAGACCCCGTGTAGGGTCATTCCATTGTAACGGGTGTGACAACAATTTAACTTTAAACAAGAATTTGAACTCTTTCTTGGGGTTTAATTAAAAAATTATCTGCAGTAGCAGAAAGAACTTTTTTTATAGATCATTTTAGTTTATCAGAAATTGTTTTTACTTTGTTCCATTCCTCAGGAAAAAATTAAAAAGCTGCGTAACGGGCGTGACCGATTTTGGAAGTGAGTTTTTCCTCAGTGAGTGTAAAGTGGAAACTCAGCGAATTTTATGAATTTAAAAATCTGATAAAATTATATGATGAAGCCAAGGGTTTTTGCTTCATTTGCCGATGATCCGTTTTCGATTATCTTTTTTTCTTTCCTTGAAAAATGGGAGTTTGCGTAACGGGTGTGACGTAACGGGTGTGACAAATTGTCTCTCTGAGGTCCATCATTTCTGAGAGAAATAAAAAGTTAAAAAACTTACTTTTCTTTTCATAATCTTATTGTAGGCAATCCTAAGCAGTAAATCAATCAGCAGTTAGACGCATTTTAATGTAGAACATGCCAAAACTACATTTTTCTACAGGGTGGCCCAGATCTACCGTCCCAGGGCTTTTCTTCGGGTAGCCCAGGATTCCCCTTTTGTCCCCGCGGTCCTGGACCTCGCATGATCCAAATTAACCACAAAAAAATCCTGGTACGGTAGGTCTAGGCCTATAGTAAAGTGAAAATATTTCAATCCAATCGGAGAGAGTTCAACGAGTTCTATTTGAAGTCCTTTTGAGATAGGTGTATTCACTTTAAATACTGAAGTATGGCAAAAAAGTTGGCTATCTCTCTCTTATAAGATGAATACATACCTCTAATTGTGCATATGAGTGTATTTCTTGTGATAACCATAGAAAAAATGGTGAGAAGTGAGGCAACATCTGCATAATTGAAGCCTCTTCTCATTGGTCACACCCGTAACGTGTCACACCCGTCACGCAGTTTTGCGTATCAATTGTTGAAATAAAAATTTGGAAAAAATACTCCAAAGCTGTACTTGACTTGAAGACGAAGGAAAGGTGTGGGAGAGTTGGGACAATTTTTACATTTTCCCCCAAAGCACCCAAAATTTGCATAATATCACAAAGCTAAAAATATTCTCTTATTCAGTACACTCTTATGTTTCTTACTGCGAGGTTTGGTCTCAATTGAACGAATAGGAGCTTTGCTACAAATTAAATAGAAAAAATTTAAAAGTGTCCCAACTCAGACACCCCCTGGGAGAGTTGGGACGGCTCCTTGGGAGAGTTGGGACAGAGTAGAAAAATCTTCAAATTTAAGAACAAATTAAACTTTAATGAGAACTTAGGCACTTAGCAGCATACACAAACAATATTGCTTTAACTATAATGTAAAAAAGTTATTTTAATAGGTAGAAAAATTATTTTAATAGTCAAAATGAGACAGTTGTAGTGACAAAGTAATAAATCAGTGCGTAAAAATTTAATTTTTGAGAACAAATACCTAATTCTAAATTTTTGTTAAGGAGGTAACATCAAATTGGCATACAGCGACTAAACTTCAATACATTTTGGAAGAGAACCTACATACTATGAGTTGGGCCGTCCCAACTCTTCCACAAGTGCATTGTCCCAACTCAGACTGGAAGGTCCTTCCGCGTAAATATTGATGGTGAGAATTTGAGGTTAGGAATATGGAAGAAAACGCAAAGGGAACTAATGACAGAAGATCTGCCCTCAACATTGGTACAAAAACATCAGCAAAATGTTTAAATCTCTGAGAACTATACGTCATTTTCTAAGAAAAAAAATACGAGCTTTTAGGCTCCAAAAAAAATAATCCCACCTGAAAAGTGCAAAACACGGCCAATCGCTCCCGTTTCAAGGTCTGTTTACTTGGATGTCTCGGGGGTACCACCACACCAAAAATCGACGTCCTGCTACCAACTGTCATATGAAAAAACTAAACTGTCCCAACTCAAACCCGTCCCAACTCAGCCACATCTCCCCTACGGAAAAAATTAGCATCTCAAAATAACATGAATTAAAATAGTTACATTAAAAAAACCATGTTTTGCGTAACGGGTGTGACAGTCAGTACACTACGTTTTAAAAGTTACATATAATACACAGTAATTACCTTTAAAAATTGAAATTTTGCAGGAGCACATTGAATCAGTTTCTTGACAACTGCAAACATAATAAACTGAAACTTGGTTTTGGCGGGAACACCAGAAAATATTGTTACCAAACTGTCACTCTTTTTACAGTAGGATGAAGCTAACCAATGGGGTTACAAAACACGTGAAAATTGCGAGAAAAGAAACAAAACGGATGTAAACCCCATATAGGTATTTGGAGGGGGAAAAAATACCCCCCGGACTACCTAGGCGTGGAATGACCCTATACCAATTTTCAGCCAAATCGGAGGGGGTCGGGTTCCGAGCCTGGCACAGTTGACGTGGAATGACCCATATTCCACCCCATTACTCAATTCTCCAACCACCTTGCAGACTCAGTCTTCATTCAAGGGGAGTGATGTGGCGGTAAGCCACCACTCCGCCATCTCATTGGCTGTAGCCCGTTGTCCACGCGGCTGCATAAACCGCGACCTCATTACCTCAGCTCATTCCGCTCCCGTCAGTCACACAGATTACATCTCTCTTCTAGCACGCGGACATCATGCAGCCAGCCGGCTCACCCCTTCTCAGAGCCGCCAATTCCTAGAGCACCATATCCGGCCATTAGCCATACTTTTAAAGATATACCTCATACAGGTTTGACAAATACCTATTTTTGGTTGATTAACATGTGTCTAGAATGTTTATAGTAGGTGACTCTGTTAACCCCAGGGTGGCTCATTGAACCCCATGGTCGCGCTTAATTGAGCCAAAAAGGTTACCTCGCTCATATGCAGATTTTGAATTCACTTGATGAACAAAAATTTTACGCTGGCATAAATTAAATAGCTAAGAGTATAATTGATCGTATTAAATCATGAAATATTAGACAAAAAAAATTGAAATAAGATTTAGGAGCGCTCCCTAAAACTGTCTCAAATAACCCCATTCTCCCCTCGACCTGACCCCATCACGCGTACGTCTACGGTACAGACAGCTACGGTTTGGACGAATTGTGTGATTATTAGCAACTTTGCGCCAGCAGCTTCACGAATGTGGTTGAAAGCCTGGATTTTAGTTTACGACAGCTACGGTTTGGACGAATCGTGTGATTATTAGCACCACTGCGCATGCAGCTTCACGAATGTGGTTGAAAGTCTGGATTTGAGTTTATGATATCATAACGTATATACACCTGCCAAAATTCAAACGTTTCAAGTACTTATTACATGCATTATAAAAACAGGTCAACGGTAAAGACAACTTGGTTGGTCATTAAATTTAAATCAAAACAAAATGGTCAAAATTTAACGTTTTATGATAGTTTTTCCCTCCAGTGTACAGCCTTACGCATGTGCTCATGATATAAACATACAAAAATGAACGAGGTTCTGTTATGCTATGCTATAGCGGATGATGCTGGAAACAGGGCGCACGGTACAAGCCGCGAATTCCGCAGTATAACGCGACCGTTTACCGTCCCCCCAGCGTGACGCCGGTACAGACCATGACGGTCGATACCTTAATTGGATGGAGTTAAACAGAAAGGAACCAAGCCACATCGAGATCGAACCAAGAAAAGGAGGTTTAAAGTTTGACTCCTGCATATTAAGACTCATTGTAAAAGATAAACTTCTAGTTCAATTCCTGCAAAATTTGCTCCTGCAAAAACTTTGAATTTTTGGCGATAGATAGTAGAGCAGTGGTTGAGTTCAAAACCACAACTCAATTTTTTCCAAAATGTGGGTTGGTTCCTTTCTGCTTAACTCAGTCCAATTATGCGAATAAAACTGAAAATAATAAGTTGAGAACTTTTGTTGAGTGTGGATTTACAGCAGAGGTGGAAGTATCCATTTTGATGCAAGATATTTTGGTTGTGAAGCGTCAAAGCTGCATGCGTACTTGAGTCGGTAAGGGGCTACGGCACAGGACATCTCAGCTGTTAAGGGCCAAAATTCTCATATCAAATGACAAAAATTGTCCGAAACGATGTTAAAATCTTCTTCAGCGTAAAATTTTGATTGAGAATTAGGCAAAAAACTCCAATATTTCCATTCTAAAGGGCTGAGAAGTCGGGTTATATGGTAGAGTAAAATTTATTTGATTCTATTTTGAAGAGATATGTGTAAGGATAGTGCTTTTTGGTTGGCAGGCGTTACCTTAGTAATCAATTATCAACACGGATGTGATATTTTAGCGGTGTCTACATTTTTTGCACCTATTCTTAATGCCTTTTTTTATCTTTCCGTACCTAAGGTTAAATCCCTGCTAAAAATGAGTGTTATGTTAGCATATTGATAGCAATGTGCAAGCATTAAGTTTTCAAGCATAATACTGAGTAACGTGATGTTAGCAATATGTCG